GGAGCTCGGCGCCCGCCCCCTTGGCCCTGCGGCGACGCGGGGACTCGGAGGCTGCCCTTGTCGCGCGGCGGGGACGTGCACCCCGGGCGTTTCCGGGCAGCCCCGGGAGGCGGGGAAAGGGCGCGGATAGGGCACCACCAAGCCCGCTGTGGCCGCCCTCGAACCCGGGCCGCGCGCGCACCTGCGGGACCCCGTGTTTGTAAACAAACCGCGCGCCTAATGAGGCTGGCGGGGACGCGCGGGGGCGGGGCCTCCGGGAGGAGCCGCCCTCGGCCCCGCCCCCGCCTGGACGCGGGCGCTGGGGAGCGTTTCAGGTCCCTGATGCCCGAGCAGGCTCATGGCTAGGGCGGACCCAGCCAGGCCCTCAGGCTTTCGTGTCCTGGAGCCTCAGTTTCCCCATCTGTCCAGTAGAGGATGGTGGTAAGTCCCCAGCCGGACGTCCCAGGACTGGGCCCCTGAGGTGAAAACGAGAATTCCTGTTCCCTTTTCTGTGCTGTGGCTCAGTAAATGGACACGGTATGGATCTTTTTCTGACTATTCGAGTGTATACATAAGGTACTCTGTGTGTGGTTTTTTTTTCCCCCCGGAACCGGGAATCGAACTCAGGACGTTGCACTTGCCAGGCAGGCACTTATGCCGCTGAGCTATATCCCCAACCCCTTACATAAGGTACTTTAAAAATACAATTTTAGAAAAACATACCATGTAACATTAAAGTGTCAATAATGGTGGGTCCTGAGAACGCGGTAAAATTTTATAGAATCTGGATTAGCGATCACCAGTCCCTTCTTTAGAATTTTCTTTTCTTTTTTCCCTTGTTTTCCCTGTGTTGTTAGCCAAGGGCATTTTTCTTACCGATATTCAACTGATCGCTGGAAAAGAGAGCACAGAAGAACCCTGCAGACGTAGGGAAGGTCCTGTTTTTAACCCGTTTTACAACAGGTTGTCAGAATTCTAGTTCAAGTAGTTCCATAAGGAACTTCTGCTCAGAAATGCGTCTTGCAGCTTTTCCTCCCAATTTCTACCGTTTCATCTGGATCAAGTTGTCATCACCGAGGCCTCCAGCCCCAAGAGTGGGCGGGGACCGGAAGACATCCTCTCCCGGGAGAGCTGGTCCTTCCTCTTCCCATACGTGGGAAAGGCTCCTTCGCACAGGGCCCACTGGGACACCCAGGCTCCAAGTCACACCCAGTTTCTCCCTCTCAGAGCCAGCTGAGTAGCGACTCGGGCCATGGAGCACACTCAGTCATTTTGGGAGTCTGGGGAGTTCTGTAGCAGGGCTATAGCAGACCTGGTGCCCGTAACAGTCTCCGGCTGGTGTGGGTCCTTGCTTCTGGTGATAAGGTAAAAGCCAATGAAAGCACGTCTACAGGAGAAAGCTTTCATTGGAAAGAAAGAGAACATAGAGAGGGACTTCTGCCTGAGGGCCTCAGGACCATCAGGTTGGCCCTCAACAAAGCAGAACAACAGGAGAAGACCCAGCTTGGGCCGCCGGAGGGGGCGCTCTCAGAGGAAGGGGTCTGAGCAGACCGGTCAGTGTTTATCCAGCTGTGACTTGAAGTGGGCAGATGTTGTACACATGCCAAAAACAAAAGCAATTTAGTGACCTAGTGAGACCTTGTCCCAAGGAACAAAAAGGGCCAGGATATAGCTCAGTCCAGACTCTGGTTTCCAACCCCGGTATCAAAAACTCAAACACAAACATGTGCACCTGAGTTTTTCCTCCTTGTCCCCGAATCTGCCCTTCTGTGTGCAAGGGGCATCCCCACAAACCCCCAGTTCCCGGGTTTATTTCAGGCGACCAAAGGTGCCATGAGCAGCTTCAACCTTCACCTCAGGACCACGTGTTCTGTGCCAGGCTTCCAGGGGAGCAGACCGAGGCCTAGAACTCGGCCAGGGCCCAGAGCCCACATGAAGGGGAGCTGAGACCCTGAGACCCCTGCCCTGAGGTCGTTTTCCCTGGATCAGCACCTTCCCAGCCGCTCCTTGCTGTCTGTCGGGCTGCGGCTGGGAGACCTTAGGCTTTTTCGCTGGCGAAACGACATGGCCTAAGGCAGAGTCCCGGGAACCAGGGGCCCATCCAAGCCCTGATGCCACTCCCTGAGGAAGGACAGGCCATTGTTCCTGCCACCTTCGGGACCACCTCCCATTCCCGGCCACCCGGGTCGCATCCTTCTGGACACTGGCTGCCAAGACAGGCCGCAACAGCCCACTCCTCGCAAGGCCGAAACCACCTGCTTCTGAGCCCAGCCTGGGCCAGGAGCTCATCACCAGCCACCCTGCCGATGACCAGCCACCAGTGGGCTGACCCTTCCCGTGGGCCAGCCGCTGACCTGCGGTGATCCCTAGAATGAGGGCCAGAACCTGGGCCTCCCCGGGGCCTGTTGTCCCTTGCCTTGGCTGCCCGCCACTTAGGTCTGGCCCGATGGCTCGGCCCTGCAGCCCTTCCCAAGGCTGGTGGAGCCCCGGGGAAGGCCATGGGCCAGTGCAGCCGACCTCTGGAGAGGAGAAAGGGACTGGGGTGGCCCTGGGTCCCCACTGCAACCCCGCAGCCTCTCCCATCCCATGCTCCAGGTCTCAGGGTTCTTCCACCTTGAGGGCTGCTGAGCGCGGGAAGCTTCATGCTTCTTCCTCCGTCAAAGGTGAAACCCAGGCCCCGGTCCTCCAGCCCTGGAAGTGGCAGAGGGAGATCTTACCCAGCTGAAGTCCGGGCTGTCTCCCCTCTGATGGGATGGAGCCCCAAGAGCAGGACTCTCAATCCAGTGGGTGCTCAAGAGCTGGAAAACCAGCCAGGCGTGGTGGTGCACCCATGTGATCCCAGCACACAGGAGGCTGAGCCAGGAGGATCCATGTAAGTTCAGAGCCACCCTGAGCTGGGTAACAAGATCTCAATACACAAGAGCGAGCTGGAAAAAAGATGAATCTCTGCTCTCCCGTCCTCGCTCCCAGCCCTCACCTTTGGGCTTCACTGCAGCCAGCCTGTCTCTCACCCCGGGGACCCTGGGGCCATGCTCCAGCCAGCACCTGGCCCAAGGCCTGAGAGGAGGGACGAAGGCAGTGGAGGGTCACAGCAGAGGCCCCGGAGCCACAGAGCAGCGGCAGTGCCGCGTCTTTGTTTAGACATCAGTTTCCTGAAGGTTCGGCTAGCGTTGAGTCCTTCCCCAGCAAACTGATCTGCCCTCAGCACAGCTTTCTAAAAAATCATCCTTTCAGGGTGGAGATGAAGCTCACTGGGCAGCAGGCCCTGGGTCCAGGTCCCAGCACTGCAAATCGCGACACTGTAGCAATAAATAAGTTTCTGTCTCCACCAACCAAAGCCTGGCCTGCAGGAGACGCTGAAGGGGTGGAGAGCATAGATGTCATATAATTTACCAGGGCTGGGGATTTAGCTCAGCCGCACAGTGCCTGCCTGGCAAGTGCAAGGTCATGAGTTCGATCCCCGGTACCGGAAAACAAAACAAAATTTACTACCACTTGCTGCAGTTTCACAGGTATTTTTCTTATTTTGATTTTTTGAGACAGCGTCTCACTATGGCTGGCCCCAAACTCCTGGGGATCCTCCTGCCTCAGCCTCCAGAATGCCAGAATTGTAGGCCTTCAACACCACATCTGGCTTATTTCACAGAATCTTTGAGCAGGGCCCTGAGCTGGGCATCACTGTGCCCACTGTGTAGCTGGCACAGTGAAGTGGCATTGCCAGCCTCAGCCCTGGTTTGAGCCCAGATGTACGCTTCCATCTTATCTGGGGAACGCACCCCAGCAGCCTGGGCCTGTGAGTGGGGTGAGCCCTTTCCCAGAGGTGGCAAACAAACGTTTGGGCACTGCCCTAGCAAAATTCCTTAAAAGCACAGCGTAGCCAGGTGTGGTGGAGCACACTTGTAATCCCAGTGCTCAGGAGGCTGAGGCAGGAGGATCGATGTTAAATTCGAGGCCAGTCTAAACTGCATAGTGAAACCCTGTCTCAAAAAAAAAAAAAAAAAAAAATCCATGGTGTGAGGTCTGGGGCACAGCTAGGGCCAGGAGAACACAGACGATTTGTCCCTAGCCATGAGATGAGGTCAGGCAAGA